GAAACCACTGAGGTAAATCCCCGGCTGAACTCAATACTTCTTGAGTAGGGCCTGGGGCTTGGTTCAAGCTGATACTGGATAACAGGATCTTGTGACCCCGTTACAAATGGTAACCGTGTGCTAAAGAGGGGACCAGGCTAAATATTACAACACACACACTCCTGCTCAGGCAAAGCTTATTGGGAGGGAGTGGAATGGAAGGGCTGGGAGTTTGGCTGAAAGGACCAACAACTGGTCCAGACAGTGACCAAGCTGCTGCTCCTTGAACAAAGAGGGAAATAGGTTTCTATTGATTTGCTGGGGTGAGCTAAGGTCTTGTAATTCCCCTGGCCAGGGATGTAGTTCCAAAAAAAACGTTTCTTCTTGGATGGATTTGGCTACCAGGTGGTCACCATCAACTGTGGCATTTTGGTACCTGGCACCGTCATCCTGTGGGAGACACCCCAGCCTTGTACTCGGTGGGCTCACACTTGGTCCACTGTGCTCAGGAACTGCTGAGCTCCTCTCTCAGCTGGCATCAGCATCCCACATATGCGTCCTGGCCTTATGATAGGGTTGGAAGTCTTTGAGGGCTTGAGCTGCTGAGAAACCAGGAGGTTCGGCTGGAGGAAACACAGACCAGCTCCCAGGGGCAGGAGGCCACGCTGACCCTGTATCATAGTCTTGGATATTTCATTCATTCATTCCTTAAATAAGAAACCATTCGTTTCTTAAATGATCAACGCGTCTCTATGCAGAGCTGAGTAGAATCTGACCCGAGGGTTAAGACAGCAAAGGGGACAGACACAGTATGAAGACAGAGATGCCAGGCTTTGATCCCATTTTAGTCACCCGTCAGACATCTGTAGGCCCGAGCGAAGGGTCAATGTTCTCAGCAAAAGCAGCCATCAGGTCCCGGGGGAAGTACCCCAGGCACTGTTAGCACAACCCACACAGCAAAGCCGGTGGGAAGCTAATAATGTGTTGCCCAGGTGTACCACCTCTAAAATTACACTGACTAAAAGCAAGTGAACTTAGAAGTCTTGTTTCGATTTTTTTCTTGGTGAAAATTTCTCATTTCATGCAAACATCCTGTGTTTGTGGTTTTTATGAAGGTCTTGTGATGTTGCTGAATCATGCCACACTACAGGGGTGATAGTTTATGGCATCCAGAGGCTTCTTTCATTGCCCCAGCCCTCTGTCCTACTATCACTCCACCATGGTAGTCCCTCACTGCCTCACTGCCTCACAACCCGGAGGCACTTGCTGTTCTCAAGCAGGCCTGGCAGCTCCACACCAAGGGTCCTCAAAGTGTGGCCCTGGCCAGCAGCAGCAGCACTTGGGAAGAAGTTAGAAATGCAAGTTCTAGGTCCCAGTCCACACCTGCTGACAATCTCCAGGGCGAGAGGCCCAGCAATCTATATTTTAACAGGCCCTCTTTGGGGCCAGGGATTTGGCTCAATGGTTTCACCGCCTGCTGCACAAGCGCAAGGACCCAAGTTCAATCCCCGGTACCAAAAAAATAAATAAATAAATAACAGGCCCTCTAGGAGACACTCTCTGATGCACACTCTGTCCTGATCAGCTCTGCTTCACATCTTCAGTCTACATCCAGGAAAGCACATCCTTATCTACACATCCTTATCTGGGTCCTTGTATCTACAAGTCATTAGCCACCCCAGAATCAAAAGGAAGGACCTTTTACTGAGTTGAGCAAACCAGGAACCTGGGCAATATGGTGGCCAAAATTTCCCAAGTTCCCAAGGACAAAGGTTTGCTGGCTTAAGTGGGGTCTCAGGCTACTCGGGAAGGGGGGATGTTATTTGCCATTCCCACTCTCATTTTGGGGTACTTGATATATGGCGGAGGGAGAAGGGACTTTTGAGGGAGGGGTAAGGGGCAGAGTTCATCATGATTTTCCGCATGTTTCCTGGAAAACATGGGGGATGGGGTGGGTATTTTAGTATTATAATCAGGGTGGGCAGAACCCCACTGCTCTGGAGAGGTGCTTCTCTCCAGTGTACCCGGTGTGCTCTTTATTCTGGGTCAGCTGGATGGGCATGGTGGCCAGTGCCCTCAATTTTAGTGTCCTGTTGGGCCTGTGTTTGTTTGGTTAAAGTGAACTAAGCCTACTGTGAGAAGTCAGTGAAGCTGAAATTACAAGGCTACAAGAAACAGATGTGATGATCTTAGGCCCTTGGGCGTCTTCCTCTGTCCTTTCGCCTCCTTCCACACCACCAGCCTTTCATGGCTGGTAAGGTGGAGGGCAGAAGCTGGTGGTGTACAGAGCTGATCTGACTCTGTTGGATTTAGTTTGGCTCGAAGAAGACTAATTTTAAAAAACAAGTTCTTGCCAGGGATTTAGCTCAGTGGTTTCAACACCTGTTGTGCAAGCA